TCTTGACAGACATGAAGGCATCAGCCGATGAATGAAGAATGCTGGGGAACTTTGCACCCAATACATCTTCAACTTTTCATGTCTGGGAAACCATCAAGACTTGTGTCGGTTCTCTCCCCAGATTGAATTGCCATGCAAAAGTCATGCTTCTGGAACAAGGCTTTGAAACACGCACCTTCCTGAATCTTGACAGACATGAAGGCATCAGCCAATGAATGAAGAATGCTGGGAAACTTTGCACCCAATACATCTTCAACTTTTCATGTCTGGGAAACCATCAAGAATTGTGTCGGTTTTGAAACAAACACACACTTCTGATCACACCTTCTTGAATTTTGACAGACATGACCACGTCTGCCGATAGCTGCTTGCACTGCAGCCAAGCACTGCGCTCACTCATGTTTTTTCAACTCGGGGTCAGGATCGAACTGAAAGCGGAATTGGAGAGTGTCTCCGGATCTTCCAAAGTTCCCTGATCTTTTATACGGTCGATCAAACTTGTAAAGACCACACAAGCCTGCCCCGGTGGCAAAGAATGCTTCCTCTGAACCATCTCCCTTGAACTCCATCTTCGAACCTTTTGCATTCAACACAGTGAAGCGAGTCATCCAATCACCGGCATAGCCAATGTCAAGTCCGCAGGGGTTCTCAGGGGGGTCTACAGCTGGTTGTTCTCCTCCTCCACCACCTCCATGGTCACTTTTGGGAAGTTCGAAGGTGCCTTTCTGTGCTATGAAGGTCAACTGATCGATGTACTCTCCTTTCCGCCATGCCATTTCGTGCACGTTGCCACGATTCTCCACAGGTGTGTCGGCGAGACTCCATGACACCATGGTGTGAAATTTCATTTCCATGCCAGTACCCGCTAGCCAAGCAGACACCCCTGGTCCCTGAATGAATTCAGGAAGAGGGTCGCTGTTCAGCCTTTTGTTCTCCTGGCCTGGAATTAACTTAGCCATGTAAGGAAAACTGTGGATCATTGGAACAAACTCTCGAATGAACACTTCGTCCATGCGGAAATTCAGAAAACGTTCAGTCCAGTCTTCGCTCAGGAGGTCCTTTGGCCATCCATCATTTGTCGTCTGTTCTGTTTTATATCTACGTTCAAAGCCTGTGAACTCGTCCTTCAATGTCCTTGTAACTTGGCGGTAGGTAAGCGGCCATTCTCCACTTGTCTCATACGATTCCTCCACTTTCAAGTAGCCTCCTCGCCACTTCTTCCAGCTCTCCATCATATCCTTCGCGGCTTTTTGTAAATTTTGGAACTCCTTCTTCATTTGTTTGAGCGTCTTCTGGGAACCGAGTGAACCACCAAGCAAGCTGCTATTCACCTCTATGATTGCCAGCTCTTTGCTCTTCCAAGGGTTCTCTTCCACCCTCCTCAAATTGTAGAGATCATGCCATAGGCTCATGATTGCCCAACTGATGGCCACAAACTCAGGCACCAGCACTGCTCTATGATGGCTGTTTGTGATGTAATCCACAATAGACCAAGCCGTGCCCTTGGCTGCGGTGTGTCTGACGATGCACTCGGAAAAGTCTTTGGCTGGAAATACAGGATCCTTTTGTCTCCAGCCGCGCGATGCTTCCTCTTCCGCTTCTTTGATCTTGATCTTCAAAGTGTCGATGGCCTCCATGAGATCTTTGGTCTGCCTCTCCAATGTGCACATACTACCCGCAATGGTGTCTTTGATGAGCTGTTCAATCTCAACCTTGACATATTCCTGTGTCCATTCCATCATCGCCCTCATCATGGCCTTTTCCTTCGAGAATCTCGGTGGGAAAAGTGCCTTGAAGACGCCGGCCAACACTTCTCCTAAGACCTCCGCAAACATGTGCTTGATGACAATCGCTCCCATTTGCTTCAGGAGACTTAAAGATGCCTGCTCGGCCCACGACTCGGCCCACCGGTCCACCGCATCCTTTCCGGAGCTCAGTGGCGCCAATCTCACTTGACCTGGCAGCTGTGTCGCCATGCACGAGGCTGACAACGGGGGTGGAGTGACGGCGACTTCCGTGGCCACGGCAGCGGCGCCGATTTTCCGGTGCGCCAAGAGACAGGCGGTGTCCGTCTCATTGGCCCGGTCGGCTTGGCAAAGGCCAAGGAAAATCACGAAAGTCCACAGTCTCGACATGCCTGACATGCACATGACAAGTAGAAATCACAGACTAAGAATGCCCGAGACTTGAAATTGCCTGAGCCAAATGTCACCTTTGTTAACATCGCGCAAAAGCACTGTCTGCATCCATTTGTATTGCAATGTCTGCAGAAAACAACTGAAGAATTCAAGTTTGAGCTTGCAACACCAGGCTGAGTTGATGGCAGTAGAATCAAACTCTATGGAAACATGTTCACTAGAAATTTTTATCCAACATTGTGCCAGTTGTGCCCCAATCTATGTCGCGGCCTCATCTGCATCCTGTTGGTAGCAACCGCAAAGAGTGATGTCCAACCAAGCCGCAAAGAAAGGCCGCAGCTGAAGAATCTGGGAATCTGGGAGTTAAGAACCGTAAATCCTGAATCTCCTGGTTTGGGGCCCACGGGTTGCTGCCCTTCGCGGCCCTCTTTTCCCGAAAGCATCGCGAAGGGTTCTTCCGTGCGAAGCCCTTTAGAGAACTACATAGGATCAAGTACACAGAGTCAGCATACGCATAGTACACAGAGTATAGTACACA